CCACAGCTTTTTCATCTTCCCAAACTGAAACTCTTTATCCATTACACATTAAGTCCCCATTTCCTGGTACCCTCAACACCTGGCAACCACCATTCTACTCTCAAGCTCTGTGAGTATAATTATTCTAGGTACCTCATGTAAGTGGACTCATATAGTACTTGTGCTTTTGTGATCAGCATATTTCACTTAGAAAATGTCTTCAAGGTCCTCCACGTTGTAGCATGTGTCAAAATATTCTTCTTTTTTAGAGCTTAATAAATATTCTACCATGCGTGCACACCTCGTTTTGTTTATTCATTCATCTGTTGGTGGACACTGGGTTGCTTCTGTTTCTGATCCTTTGTCATTGAGTTCCCATTTTTCCTATGGGTAAAACCATCTGAGTTGGTTTAATGATTTTCACCACCCAAGACCCTGTGCCCAATCATATTCATTCCTTTATTCAACAAATACTTGTTAAGCCCCCACTGTATGCTGGCAACTGTTCTAAAGGAGCTTGAATGCTCTCAATACCTAGAGCTGTGCTGTTCTGTTAAGGTGGTTGAGGGTTCCGTGTGCCTATTTAAATGTAATTAAAGTCAAATAAAAATTTATAAAATGCAGTTCTTTGCTAATAGGAGCTGTATTTCAGGTGCTTAATAGCCACATATGACTAGTGGCTGCTATATTGGACAGAGCATAATGGATGTGTTCTTGCAGAAAGTTCTGTTGCACAGCACTGACTTAGAGGGTTTAGGAAAAGTCCAGTAGCAGTGGTAAGCAGCAGAAACTCTCTCCCCAGATCGCAAGCTTATGAAGGGGTCACCTTGTGAATGCAAGCATGCTCTAGTTATTCAGCCACATTTGAGCCAAAAGCTAGGCAGTCAGAACCCTTCCTCAGCACTTAGGAAGGTGAATAAGCAAGCAGTTCAGTTTCTCCCAGGTCAGTGGCAATTTTATCCCCATAGGGAGCACTTGGCAGTATCTGGAGATATTTTTGGTTATTGAAACTAGGAGGAGGGGGAGTGGAGTGAATGCCTATGTTGATAAGCATACTATAATGCGCAGGATAGCCACCCCCCTTCCCGCAACATAGAACCATACCAGCCAAAATACCACTAATTCCACGCTTGACAGGTAACTCCACTCCCGGTGAAATGGTTACAGATAACGGCTGGGAGCTGTGAGAGCCGTGTTTTGTGGCATGTGGAAGAAGCTACTGTACAGTGAGAGGAAATCAAACCATGGAGTTGGAGAGAGACTCCCCAGAGTGTTCAAGTCTTCACTTCCCTTGTTCTCCAGACCAGCCTCAGTTCTTCCCTCAGGTTCTGTGAAGAACCTCAGTGTGATAATAACTTTACTCTTTTACTGGAATTACTTTGAGCTGGGTGTTAGCCTTTTGTTAAATGTTCCAAATACAGCAAATTATGTAGTAAGTTCTTCATTTAATTATATACCACGTAAAACTGGGTCTACAAATATGCTGTCTGCCTACCTTGCATTTAAGGTGGTCTCATCACATGTTTAGCACATGGTAAGGATTTAATTGCATCAAGCTCACAGAGAGGTTATGACTAAATTTCAAATAAACCATTACATTTTTTATGAATAAAAGATTATTTTAAATGGTCTAGTGTAGAATATTCATATATATTTAGTGAAAAAAAGTGTGTAGAATAAAATATTCAATCAGTATAAAAGGGTATAGAGTGAAAAGTCTCTAATCTCCTGACTTCTCCAGTTTCTTGTTCTAGAATTATTTATGCATATACAAGTATACTTGTTTCCCCTCCTTTCTCTCACTCTCTTTTAAAAAAAAATAGTGTGTATATATTATATAGAGAATGTGTGCACGTATTACACACACGCCTCATTTTAAAAATGATATGTGTATATGAGTTTCTGCTCCTTTTTTCCACTTAACATTTACAACTGCATTTTAGAGCTCTTTTTTCATCAACACCAAGATGGATTCCATTCTTTTCAATGACTTGAAGTTTACCTTTAAATCAGTGTTTTGTGTGTAATTCATTCAGCTAGTCCTCTGCTGATGAGCATTAAGGTTCTTTCCAGCCTTTTGTTTTTACAAATAATGCTGGAATGATTAACATATCCTTGTATTTTGATCTTTATGCGCATATAATTGTATTTGTAAAATAAAATTCCAGTAGCAGACTTTTCTGGTTCAAAAGGTGAGCACATTTCTGTTTTTGTTAGATACTGCCAAATTGCCCTTTCAAAAAGATGCATCATTTTTCAATTTTGCCAACTGTATATGAACATGCCTAAAATGTAATCCCCTTTCTTACCATGTTTTTCTTTCCATTTCTCTCTCTAACTTACCTTGCTTTCCTTAGATCCATTCTAGAAGATGTCAGGCTTTCAGTTCAAGGGTTTATCTCTTTACAGTCTGTGCAGCACCAGCCATAGGAACATTTATGAAAGATACAACCTATCTCCTTTGAGAGTACTGCCTCAGTTTCCTCCTTGACCCCTAGGGGTGGGCAATGTCACTGCATACTCACCCCTCCTCTCTTTTAATCGCTGGCTCAGCTTCACCTGGATGAAATCCCCTTCCTCACTCTTCCCTCCCTTCCATCCCCTGGGAGGCCTTTAAGAGCTGGTACTCATTTATAGAGCCTGAGAAGTTGAAATCTGTTAACTTGCCTTGGTTGCTTGCCAGTACTTAAAGACAGGCCTAGTTGGACCACTGCATTCTTTGTCTTTGTGGACGAAGCCGTATCTGCATGTACAGTGTCAAGAAATGTTTCCTGTCAACTGCTTTGGCCTGGCATTTCCGTTAACACTTTCAGCTGGGAGATGGTTTCTCTAGCTTAGCTGGCAGAGGACCCAATTTCACAGTCCATTTGCTTCTCTCTCTTTCTCAGCCATTGGCCCCAGTTGGGGCAACCTATAACTTGATTCTGTGGCCTATAGAGTTTAACTAGGAAACTTTCTGGAGGGGAGGTAGGTGGGGGTGGGGAAATCCTTCCACTGTGACATTACTGGCATAACCTTTTTTTTAAAAGTGCGCTTCCATTTTTGAGGAGTAAATGACACTCTGGGCTTTTACTTGCTCTCCTCCCAATGTTTTATTATGAAGAATTTTAAACATACAGGAAAGTTGAAAGAATTTTATAGCAAACACCTGTATGCCCATTACTTAAATTCTTCCACTGACATTTTACTATGCTGTTTTATCACATAGCTGTTTATCTGTCCATCACTCTATCTACCTTTTTGGGCTTTTTTAGTGATATTTCTCCAGCATTTCAAAGGCACCATGGTATGGGTAGTTAGGAATATGTGCTATGGTGCCAGATTACCTGGTTTTGAATCCTGGCTCTACTGTCCACTAACCCTGTGACTCTGGGCAATTTGCTGAGCCTCTTTGTGCCTCAGTGTTCTCATCTGTATAATGGAAATCATGATAGTGCCAACTTCATAGACTTCTGTGAGATTCAATGAAGTAGTAGACGTATGGTGTTTAAAACAAAGATTACTGTATTTTAACCATTTGGTATATGAAAAAGAGAGTACATGCTAAAGTAATATTAATTTCATGGATTAAAAAAAAACCAATTTAATAGGTTTCATGGATTTTAGGGAGAAGCAACTGAATGCCAGACATGCAGTATGACATACAGTACTACACCAGCCATTTTATGTACATTGCCTCATTTGATCTTCAAAACCACCTTAAGCAGATTATCCCCACTTGCAGATGAGCAAGCTGATGCCTAGTAATTAGCAGCAATGGGGTTTGATCACAAACCTGTTTTATTTCAATGGCCATAATCTCTAGGCTTTGGCCTCGCCCCCAATTCCCCTGCCCCTCAGCCAATCCTGGAGTGCAGTGGACTCTCAAGTCCACTGTGACCTCGAACTTCTAGGCTCAAGCAATCCCCCTGCCCCAGCCTCCCAATAGTTGCCCTTTCTTTTTTTGTCAGTCACAAGATGAAGAAATTTTAGGATTCTATAAGGTGGTAGAGATTTCTGTGATTAAAAAAACCAAATAGGTAGACACATCTAAGGTTTATTATTTTGGTGTAACTTTTAGATATTGAAAGTCAATCTTGCAGAAGAGAGAACACCCTGCCGTTTTTTTGTATCTTGGTAAAACACTGTCCCCTCTGTTAGTATTTCCAATTCAGAGGGGTTTTGCTGTATGGGAATTACCATGGGGTGTTTTGGCAGTGCCATCATTTGTCACCTGTTTCATGTCTGAGATGCTTGCAAATAACTCTTAGTTTGCTGTCCAAAATCTTTTGTGGGAAGAAGGTTAGAAAATAGAAATAAGTACGCTACTGACTCTGTCTTATACATGGATGTTTTGAGGAGAAGCCACACTCCACTTGGTTATTTACTCTAAGTTGTGGCTTTGATACCATCTTATATATCTGAGAAGTGGCCCATAGGAAGCAGTGTAAAGAGGAGGGTGAATGGCTGAGTGCCGTAGCTCACACCTGTAATCCCAGCACTTTGGGAGTCAGAGGCAGACAGATCACTGGAGGTCACAGTTCAAGACCAGCCTGGCCAACTTGGCGAAACCTGTCTCTACTAGCTGGGTGTGGTACTAGCTGGGTGTGGTGGCGCATGCCTGTGATCCCAGCTACTAGGGAGACTGAAGCAGGAGTATTGCTTGAACTTGGGAGACAGAGGCTGGACGACAGAGTGAAACTAGAGCCCTCAGATTCTGTTTTTCATTTGAGTTCCTGCCTCAATTCAAATTCATTCCTTTCCTCCTCTTCTATTAATCCTTTCTCAGTTCTTGAGATTACATCAAATAAGTCTCTCTTAAGTGTTAGCATGTCTTCAACACCCCCTCACAGTTGCCAATTTTCTTTTCTAATGGAGAGACCATACCTTTTAATGGCATGATTTTGCTTTCATTGTTTTTGCTTTTAGTTACTTTATTTTTATGGCTGCTGGTTCTGTATGTCTGTTCCTAGAGATGATATAAAGTTTTCATTTAAATATGTTTAGTTACATGAAAAGAAAGTGGTTTAAAAAGGCTAAAGTGGAATAGTAGAAGTGGTACCCATATGTGGCAAAAGTCATGAGGCTGGGATGCAAATGATGGAAGTTGTTTATAACACTAAATTAAATGAACCTCAGAGTTTGTATGTCTAGTCTCCATTGACAATGGATGCTCTGGGCAGATGGAACATTTACCAAATAGTTGCATCTGTTTTGAAGGTACTCAGTGGAAAATAATTTATGCTCTACATCTGTTTCTTGGCCAAGAAAAATATATGCAGTAGATTCTGGCCACTTAGGAAAGTTTTAGAGCAAGGCTAATTATGCCTTGGGGCTTTGGCCAATGTGTTTGTCCTTATAAAAGAGTCCATAGTATCATCAGCACCCAGAAGTAGATATGCATATGCGTATAGTTTCCAGAAGAGTTTCTTACTGAAATTCTTTCCATTTCTTATGTGGCCTGGATGTCCACCAAAAGGGGACTGTATATCTGTTGGACTTGGGGGTGGCTTCCTAAGGCTGAAGAACATCAAAAGGGGGCATCCTCAGGGAATCCCCTGAAAGTGAACCCAGGATACACCTGAGGATTTGCATGATACTTAGGGATTCTGTTTAGGGAGATAATGTTATGCAACTGCTCAAAAAATCTGAAGTTAGTGTTAAATAGCCTGAAGTTTGGAGAGGAGTGGAAGTTAAGGTAGAGAGCCCCACCTTGAAAAGAGAACTATATGCTCTCTGGTGATAACTTGTGGACAATACATGGAGCTATGAAAGTGGGAGTAAATGAAAGATATGGTTATCCTCCCAGCTTCCAGCAAGATATTTAAAAGGATATACCTTTCTTTGTATCTCTGTAAGAAAGGAATCAGTGACTCATACCCTGTTCTATGAAGAGTTGTTCTCCAATTCGTTCACTCTCTGACCCAGAGATATAAGTCCCTGTTTGGAGTGTCAAGGTGATTTCAGATGATCTTTCTTTCTCCTTTGTAAGGTCTGATTTTGATATCAGTAGGGAGGTGACTTCCTCTCACAGAGCTGCCTTACTTCAGGGAGTGAGTGGTTTGGCTTCTCTCAAGTCTTAATATTCTTTTTGTTTCCCTGTGGATCTCTGACGCTAAGGTAATTACTGGGGGCAGAGGTACACTGTGAATGAGACAGGGACAGGATATTGAAAGACAGAGCAGGGGAGTTGCCATTAAGTTTTACTTAATGGGTGAAAATTGTGTTGGTTTTTCAGTCTTCAGGATGGTGGCTCAAAGCTTCTTTGCTGAAATGTGATGCAATAAAGAATGATGTTAACACCCTTAACAATTGTATTAAATGGGCTAGACTCACAGAGTGGTTACATGGCAGGGTTCAGGAATCTGATTCAATGCCTCTCACAGGAAGTTTGGCTTAGTCATTTTCCAGCCTTGTGGTCTCAGACAAATTTCTTAATCATTATGAATGTATTTGTCTAACATATGAAAAAGTGTTGACCTTCAGTTAACAGATTTCATTAAATACCACTCTATCCCTGACATTGTGCCAAATATTGAGATAAATAGATGAATAAAGCAAGAAAAGCTCTCAGTTAACAGATTTCACTAAATACCACTCTATCCCTGGCATTGTGCCAAATAATGAGATAAATAGAAGTATAAAACAAGAAAAGCCCTCTGTTTTTATGAAAATTTTCTCCTGTTTTGGGAGTGTTGTGATATTTAAACTAAAATAGTGCATATTAAAGGAGTTGGCATAGGGCCCTTTTAAAATCATGCAAGAATTATTATGGAAAACTTACAAACTGCCCATCCTACAATAGATTGTCATTAACTAATTAATTAATTTTTTGAGATGGAGTCTTGCTCTGCCACCAGGCTGGAGTGCAGTGGTGCAATCTTGGCTCACTGCAACTGCTGCCTCTCGGGTTCAAGCAGTTCTCTTGCCTCAGAGTAGCTGGGCCTACAGGCGGATGCCACCACGCCTGCCTTATTTTTCAGTAGAGCTGGGGTTTCACCGTGTTGGCCAGGCTGGTCTTGAACTCCTGAGCTCGGGCATTCCGCCCGCCTCGGCCTCCCAGAGTGCTAGGATTACAGGCATGAACCACTGCTCCTGGTCAGATTGTCATTATTTTAATAGTAGAACTCCCTGAACAAATAACTTCATTATTTTGTATGCAGTGTTTTAAAAAAAAACTCATATTGTTTTAAATTTTTTCCCTTTTTTTTTTGCCAGCACTTGACATAAAACCTAATTTCTCTGCTCATTGTGTTGTGACTTTCTTTTTTTTTTGGGGGGGGGGGGGCAGAGTCTCGCTCTGTTGTCCAGGATGGAATGCAGTGATATGATCTCTGCTCACTGCAACCTCCACCTCCTGTGTTCAAGCGATTCTCATGTCTCAACCTTCTGAGTAGCTGGGATTACAGCCATGCGCCTCCATGCCTAGCTAATTTTTGTATTTTTAGTAGAGATAGAATTTTACCATGTTGGCCAGACTGGTTTTGAACTCCTGACCTCAGACATTCCACCCACCTTGGCCTCCCAAAGTGCTGGGATTACAGGCATTAACCACCATGCCTGGTCCTGTGTCATGACTTTCTAATGGATGTTTTCATGTAAGAAGTTGATCTTCCTAAATAACAGAGTTGCAAAGTACATTTGTTGTGTGTGTAGCTCCTGTTAGAACTTGAGTACACTTGAAAAATACAATTCAGAGTAATGTCCGTATGAACAAACAGTCCAAATATGCTTTCTTCTTTTTTTTTTTTTTTTTTTTTTTGAGACGGAGTTTCACTCTTGTTACCCAGGCTGGAGTGCAATGGCGCGATCTCGGCTCACCGCAACCTCCGCCTCCTGGGTTCAGGCAATTCTCCTGCCTCAACCTCCTGAGTAGCTGGGATTACAGGCACGTGCCACCATGCCCAGCTAATGTTTTTGTATTTTTAGTAGAGACGGGGTTTCACCATGTTGACCAGGATGGTCTCGATCTCTTGACCTCGTGATCCACCCGCCTCGGCCTCCCAAAGTGCTGGGATTACAGGCTTGAGCCACCGCGCCCGGCAATATGCTTTCTTCTTATCTTGAAACTAGTGATATGACGATAGGAGGAGACAAGCCACCTCTTCATGAATACCATGCCTAGTTACTTCATGGAGACTGTCCCAATTTGGAAATAGCTTTTTCCAAAGCACTTAGCTGATTTGCTCAGGTGGTTCCCAGACTCTTAGCTGTAACCAAGCAATTTGCTGTCAACTTTCTTCTCAGTACAATGGAACATTCATGTTTATCTGGCAGAAACTTTATTAAGGGAAGCCTGACAGGAAGGTTAAGGGGAAGAAGAATGGAGTCTGTCTTCATTGGAAAGCTTGTTTCTTGAAATGTGTAAAATGAAAAGAATGGTTGTGGTTCTGTGACATCAGTTCACCTCATGACTGCAGTGAATGCGAGGATCCCTGTTTTCTGTAGAATGCCTTGGTAAGACACTACCTAGGCACTAGGCCTTTAAAAATAAATCATTAGTTTCTCCAAGAGGGTTCCATTTTAATATTATTTTCTAAGATGCCCTGTATAGCATGTATTTAAGGTTATTTCTGTGCTGAATACACAAATGATTTTTCAGTGGATTTTTTTTTAACATATTTTCCTTAATTTACATGAGGACTCTTTATTATCCTGATCATCTACTCAGTTAACAGTGTACAGTTCAATTATGCATCTTCAGTATTGCGTAAGGAACTGGAGTTGAAAATAACAGTTACAGTTACCACCTAGGAAGGGAAGGGATGAATAACAGAATGAATCCAAAGAGGTGAGAGGAAATGCATTATGGGTAGGTAGTATCAAGCTCAGGGTGACTTATTTCTATAGATTTGTGTTGACTAATTCTTTGACCGGACAGAGACCAGCTCGTTTCCTGGCTGTTTGTCCTATCTTTAATGCATTGCAGGAAGTGGGAATAGCCTGTTGCAGGAGTATACCAGATGGACACAGGAATGCCCCCTTCTGCCTTCCCCTCTTATCCCTGATGAATGGTGTCATGGAAATTCAAAGGTTATTTTGGGATTTCATGTTAGTTGAAAGCAAATTCACTTATTTATCATTTGGCATATCAATATTTGTATGCCTGCCATTTCAGGCTGGCTGGTGCTCTGTACTGCCTATAGCATAGGAAAGACAGATGAGCTTATAGCTTAGAGCCAAGGTACATAAAGTTAATAAGAGTGATGTCTTATTAATAGACAAAGGCGGAATCTATTAACTGGGGCATTTCAACTCATATCTCAGAATTTCTTTTCTTTGTGGCCATATACAAGCAAGGATGGGGAAATTATATGGAAACAAAGGTGGGGAAATTACAGAGAGAAATGGAAGAGTTGAAAGGAAGCAAGGGTACCAATAGCCCACCTCTCTGCACTCTGCTCAAGGGAAATCTTGTGCAATTTGTGTGGACAATAAGATTTATAATTTTGGCTTCAAGCCTGGGTGACTTTCTCCTCTCTGATTATAGGAAAAACTATTATCATTTAATTAAGATTGGGCACTTTTTCACCTCTTGGGTGTCCTTCCATAGGACACACATCCTTTTTGTTTGGTGACCACAGGGACCAGTGACATCCTAGTTTTCTTGGAATTGTTTGTACTAATTGCTTTATTAGAAACCACTCTATAGTCAGATGTCTGCCCACACTTCCCCAGTTCTTTTCTCCCAAGATGTCAAAACCCTCGTGAGGAATCTGTGAAATGTGAACTATGACTTGGTTATATGAGGTTCAGTGAAATAGCTGGAGGTTTTCCCAGCGGGAGGCTAAAGCAGAATTGTCCAGACATCACTTTTTTCTTATCTAGTCAAGCTTTTCTGGGAGCCTTTCCGCATGAAGAATCCAGGCTCAAAGGAAAATCAGTTTAACTGGCTAAAAACTCATCTGGGAAGTTTAAATCACTCCTGAAAGGTACAGAGCTGCAGTCATTGGTTTGACAAGAACAGAAAGATACTTGTCTCTGTGGTTGCTGGTATTAAAAGAGAATTTATTCATTTGTCTGTTAAGACATTAGGATGGATGCAGTGCCTTGTACCTGTAATCCCTGCACTTTGGAAGGCTGAGATGGGAGGATCACTTGTGTTCAGGAGTTTGAGATCAGCCTGGGAAACATAGGGAGACCTCATCTCTATAAAAATAATAATAATAAAAAATTGCCAGGATGGTGGCCCACATCTGTAGTCCCAGCTACTCAGGAGGCTGAGATGGGAGGATCTTGAACTGAGGAGATAGAGGTTGCAATGAGCTGTGATTGCACCACTGCACTCCAGCCTGGGTGGCAGAGCAAGACCCTGTCTCAAAAAATGAAAACCAGAACAACAAAAAAGACTGTTACTCACTTACTGTGCACAGATATAGTGCCTTGCCCTAGGGAATCAGTGATGGGTAGAAAACTAATGTTCTTTGTGCTGAATTAAATCATTGTATAGCTAAGAGGATCAAGACAGCTTGAGTAAAGGACAAGTAGAAAAGGAACAATGTCCTAAGGGAGTAGAAGACAAAGGATGCAACAGAGAGGAAGGAGAGATCAGGGAAGGTCTGAATGCAGTAAGCTTGAGGTAAGCCTGATATAGTTTTGAAATTTAACCAAATGAAGGGGCTGCGAAACGAAGTTAGTTCAGACTCCCAGGATTTGTACCTTTTGAAGCGACTGTGCCCCTCAGAGACTTCCAGAGAGTTTTAGAACTCATTCAGGCTTTGGCAGTTTTGAGAAGCATATTCTTTCTCTACCGGACAAAGGGACACTCTGTGTGTGTGTGTGTGTGTGTGTGTGTGTGTGTGTGTGTGTGTGTGTTTAAGGTGTGTGTGTGTGTGTGTGTTTAAGATATAGTCTCATTCTGTTGCTGTGTGTGTGTGTGTGTGTGTGTTTAAGGTGTGTGTGGGTGTGTGTGTGTGTGTGTGTGTTTAAGATATAGTCTCATTCTGTTGCCCAGGCTGGAGTGCAGTGGGATGATCTTGGCTCACTGCAACGTCTGCCTTTGAGGTTCAAGTGATTCTCATGCTTTAACCTCCTGAGCAGCTGGGACTACAGGCACACACCACTATGTCCAGCTAATTTTTGTATTTTTGGTAGAGACAGGGTTTCACCATGTTAGCTAGGCTGGTCTCGAAATTCTGACTTCAAATGATCCTCCTGCCTCAGCCTCCCAAAGTGCAGGGATTACAGGCCTGAGCTCCTGCTCCTGGCTAAACGTGTATTTTTTTTTTTTTTTTGAGACGGAGTTTCGCTCTTGTTACCCAGGCTGGAGTGCAATGGCGTGATCTCGGCTCACCGCAACCTCCGCCTCCTGGGTTCAGGCAATTCTCCTGCCTCAACCTCCTGAGTAGCTGGGATTACAGGCACGCACCACCATGCCCAGCTAATGTTTTGTATTTTTAGTAGAGACGGGGTTTCACCATGTTGACCAGGATGGTCTCGATCTCTTGACTTCGTGATCCACCCGCCTCGGCCTCCCAAAGTGCTGGGATTACAGGCTTGAGCCACCGCGCCCGGCCTAAACGTGTATTTTTGCTTATGAGCACCATGAGCATCAGCTTTTAATGTCAGATACATGGCCATATTACCCAGAACTCTGTTGTCTTCTGACTGTTGAAAGTTAAGTCTAACCATGCGGCTAAGGACATTTAAGCCCACACTAACCCCAGCTTCTCTTAAGAACTACTGCAGAGATTGCCTAGTTTTCACCCAGTCTCAGGCCATTTTTGGTCAAGGCCTGCAATGACTTTGTCATTGCAGTAAACCCTAGGCAGTGTGCAGGTAAGCCTCTTCTTGAGATGGATTGCATGCATGCCTTTTTGATGGCATAATAAGCAGGTCTTTATTGGATGTGAATAGAGTTTAAAATGTTGCTGAGTTGAACACTGGAGGGTGAAGGGATTTCTCCATAGAGTTGTTCCTGCATGTTAAGAATGTTGAGCTAAGTTTAGAATGTCTTATACTGTACCTATTTTTTTTTCCTGTGTAAGTCTCAAAAACTTGATTTAGACTTTAAGGTTTTATGAATGTCCCTACTTTTTTTTTTTTTAAGAGGAAGGCAGAGGGAGGGAGTGGGAGATCGTTTGATAGAGAAGGGTATAAATTACAGTGAATTAGTTATCACAAAGCTGGGTAATGTAAGCTCAATTAAGAAATAGGCCAGGCACGGTGGCTCACTCCTGTAATCCCAGCACTTTGGGAAGCCAAGCGGACTGGATCACCTGAGATTAGGAGGTCAAGACCAGCCTGAACAACATGGTGAAACCTCAGTTCTACAAAATCAGCTGGGCGTGGTGGTACATGCCTGTAATCTCAGCTACTTGGGAGGCTGAAGCAGGAAAATCACTTGAAATTGGGAGGTGGAGTTGTAGTGAGCCAATATCACACCACTGCACTCCAGATTGGGCAACAAGAGTGTAACTTTGTCTCAAGAAAAAAAAAAAAAAAAAAAAAAAGAACTAAAACAATGGTAGCAACCAAGTATGCTCATTCCCTAGTAACCATTGTCTGACCTCTATCCCCATTGATGAGTTTTGCTTGTTTTGGAACTTTGTACAGTTAGATTCCACTTAGTATGGATTCTTTTGTGCCTGGCCTCATCTCCTCAACATTGTATTGAGATTTGTCCATGTTACATGTAGCCGTAGTTCATTCACTTTTATTTTATTTTATTTTTTTATTTTGAGATGAGGTCTTGCTCTGCTGCCAAGGCTAGAGTGCATTGGTGCAGTCACAGCTCACTGTAGCCTTGACCTCCCAGGCTTAAGTGATCTTCCCTAGTAGCTGGGACTACAGTCATGTGCCAGCATCCTTGGCGACCTTTTGTGTTTTCTTTCTTTTTTTTTTTTTGGTTTTAGAGACAATGTTTTGCCATGTTATCCAAGGTGATCGTGAACTCCTGGCCTCAAGTGATCTGCCCATCGCGGCCTCTGTGAGCCACTGTGCCTGGCCCATTTTGATTTCTGTATAATATTATAGCATACATATGTCTACATTTATTCATGTGTCCTGCTTTTGATGATACATGTGTTTCTTGTAGTTTGGACTAATATGAATTATGATACTGTCATTATGGCCACATATGTCTTTTGGTATATATGTATTTTCATTTCTCTAGGATATACCTCAGAGTGGAATTGTAGGATTGGGCCATAGACTGTGCATTTTCTAATCCCAATAAAATACTTCTTTTTTGAGAGGGAGCCTCACTCTGTCACCCAGGCTGGAGTACAGTGGCACAATCTCTGCTCATTGCAGCCTCTCCCTCCAAGATTCAAGTGATTCTCCTGCTCCAGCCATCTGAATAGCTGGGATTACAGGTGTATGCCACCACGCCCAGCTATTTTTTTTTGTATTTTTAAAATAGAGATGGAGTTTCACCGTATTGCCCAGGCTGTTCTTTAACTACTGATTGCAAGTGATCCACCCGCCTCAGCCTCCCAAAGTGCTGGGATTATAGGTGTGAGCCATTGGGCTCTGTCTCCAGTTCTTCCAGTTTATGTTACCTTAAGTAGCCTGTGGGTTTCCATTATTTAACATCCTTGCCAGCACATGGTATTGATGATCTTTTAATTTTACCTGTCTAAAAGTATGCCAACTTTGAGTTTTTAAAATTATTGTGTTTCGGCCAGGCGTGGTGGTTCACGTCTGTAATCCTAGCACTTTGGGAGGCCGAGGCAGGCAGATCATCTGAGATCAGGAGCTTGATACCAGCCTGGTTAACATGGTGAAACCCTGTTTCTACTAAAAAGACAAAAAATTAGCCAGGCATGGTGACATGCACCTGTGATCCCAGCTACTCAGGAGGCTGAGGCAGGAGAATCGCTTGAACCAGGGAAGCAGAGGCTGCAGTGAGCTGAGATTGTGCCATTGCACTCTGGCTTGGGCAGTGATAGTGAAACTCCATCTCAAAACAAAATAAAACAAAACAAAATCATTGTGTTTCATTGAAAAGGAATGAGAGTGAGATTTAGAGCCAGAAACTCTGAGTTTAGCTTAAACCCTGGTTGAAGGGCTACCGGGTGATCATTTGAATCCTTAACTGAATGTGGGACCATTTTCTTAGACCTCACCCTATAGAATTTCACACACTAGGCTCCAAATGCTGGAGGCAAGCTGTGCAAACCTACACAGTTATTTACCTCTTTGAGACTCAGTCTCCTTATCTGCAAAAGGATGTCATTTTACATTCCTCACTGAGGCTGGTATGAAGAGGATATCAGTCATTCCACCAAAAAGCTTGAGTTTCTGGTCCATAGTTATTATCAAAAAGAAGTTATGAGGTTGCTCTGAGTCACAGGAAGAAGTGACTGGCTACATTGCTGTGGAACACTCTTAGATTTATTTTAGTTTATCTATTTTTAGGGAAACAAAGTTATTTCACCCAGAGCATTAGACGTCAAAAGTTGATATATCCTTTCTGGAACTGCCTTGTTTGTTTGATGTCCGGGTGTCTATGTATGTTTTGAAGGCTGGCATGTTTATGGCTGAGCAGAACCATAAACACTCCTTGGGCCCAGGGCTGCTCTGGATTTGTGTATATTTGATACAAGGGCAGTGGAAAAGGAAATCATCTTCAGCTTGTGTTTTGACACAGAGGAGTTTTGCTTTTCCTTTATCAACTCTCTGCATCCTCCACCAAAAACAAACAAAATTCCGGCATGGGTAAATATTGTGACTGGCAGCCTTAGTGGTGTTGTTTTTCCCTTTGCTACAATTGCAGAGAGACTGAGGGTGGCATTGTAGAAGATGCATGGTTGTCATTCTGATATTTCAACCAGAACCAAAGCAATTCTGGAAACGAAAAAGTGAGGTAAAGAAAAATAAGAATTACAAGATAATTTTTTTTTTTTTCTAAGGGAAGTTGTAAGGCAATTCAAGGAAGGAAAGGAAAAAAATGTTATACGGGTTTGCATTTCTTCTCCTATCATCCATATTCGTCATGCCACTGCTCCTGAGCCTTAGACTAGATAGACTATTCAAACACAGTTGAGCTTCATTTCGGGTGGGTTATTTGGTACCTTCCCTCCCAGCCTTTTGCTTCATTTAGCCTGCTCAGTGAAACTCAGCTGGAATTGAGGTGCAGCGGTCTAGGAGGCTCGGAGAGGTTTAACCACTTATGTAGCCACTGAGAGTTTGACCTGGTGGAATTTCATGTACATTTAATTAAGTATGTTTGTTTGTTTGTTTGTTTATTTTGAGACAGAGTCTCGCTCTCTCACTCAGGCTGGAGTGCAGTGGCGCAATCTCAGCTCACTGCAACCTCTGCC